ACATGAGAGAATCCACACTGGAGAGAAACCATTCAGCTGCGACGATTGTGGTCAGAGTTTTTCTCGGAGTGGTGATCTCAAAGTGCATCAGAGGATCCACACTGGAGAGAAACCCTTCAGCTGTGACGACTGTGGTCAGAGTTTTTCTCGGAGTGGTCATCTCAAAGTGCATCAGAGGATCCACACTGGAGAGAAACCATTTGCATGTGACTTCTGCAGTAAAACCTTTAAAACTGCAGCACAGCGCACACTTCACCATCGGAGCCACACTGGAGAGAAGCCGTACGAGTGTGACCAGTGTGGAACATGTTTTTCCGAAAGAGGACATCTTAACCAGCACAAAAGAATCCACACTGGAGAGAAGCCCTTCAGCTGCGACGATTGTGGTCAGAGTTTTTCTCGGAGTGGTTCTCTCAAAGTGCATCAGAGGATCCACACTGGAGAGAAACCCTTCAGCTGCGACGATTGTGGTCAGAGTTTTTCTCGGAGTGGTGATCTCAAAGTGCATCAGAGGATCCACACTGGAGAAAAGCCCTTTGCATGTGACTTCTGCAGTAAAACCTTTAAAACAGCAGCACATCGCACAGTTCACCATCGGAGCCACACTGGAGAGAAGCCGTACGAGTGTGACCAGTGTGGAACATGTTTTTCCGAAAGAGGAAATCTTGACCAGCACAAAAGAATCCACACTGGAGAGAAGCCCTTCAGCTGCGACGATTGTGGTCAGAGTTTTTCTCTGAGTGGTTCTCTCAAAGTGCATCAGAGGATCCACACTGGAGAGAAACCCTTCAGCTGCGACGATTGTGGTCAGAGTTTTTCTCTGAGTGGTTCTCTCAAAGTGCATCAGAGGATCCACACTGGAGAGAAACCATTTGTCTGTGAAAAGTGCAAAAAGTCTTTTACTCAAAGTTCATCTCTTACTAAACACATTAAAACCTGTAGAGAAGCAGGTCTGAAGCATCTGGACCAAAGTGAAGGAGACAGAGCTGAGGCTGCATCCTGTGAACCCAGAGTCAGACTCTACAGGATCTCACTTCAGTCTTAACTCCTGGTTTGGGGAAAGAATCCATTCTGTTCAGTGTTTCATTTTCATGTTTGACTTTTCTGTTCCTTGTTGTGACTCTATGATGTTGGTTTGTTGTGTCTTTGTGTCTGTAATTAGTTCCTGTGTCCTGATTGTTCATTTTTCACGTTTTCAAGAACAGACCATAATAAATGACATTTGAGTTTATTTTTTTCCTCCATGTTTGAAAGTCTTTGAATAATATGAAGGACATGAATCACAATCAATCACAGAATCAAATCACAAAACTGTCGAATATTGTAAGAATCTCAATAATATTGAATTGTGACAAATATCACTGTTAAATGTCTGTCACTACATTTCCCATGATGCACCTGTTAATATTGTAGTTCCCCAGGGTCTCCTGTAGCCATGTTCAGAGCTGTTCTTTACAGTGTTAGGGGCGGAGCGTGCGTCATGCCAACCATCAATAATCCTGTGTGTATAAGTTCTGTGTGCGTCTATGCAAAGTGAGTACCATGTGCCAATCTATATTTATGCTCCATTTATATACTTTAACCCTCTGGGGTCCAGAGCGTCGGATCCGACTCCTGCGCACATGTTTTATAAATGTTCAATTTTCTCATGAACGGCAAAACGTAGCGACTTACTTTTTTTTTCTCCGTGAAGTACACATTTCAGGCATTACAGCGCTAGTTTTGTTTTGTCTGTGTGACTTTTGGGGAATTTTCTACGTGTGTTTGAAAGTTGGTGTCCAATCGGATCTTCGAGCGGTCTCCCGTGAGGTAAAACAGCCAAAACAGTAAAGTTATTTTGCTTACACGCTGACACAGGGACTGCCAAAGATTGTCAGAGAGTAGGATGATCCACTCTCCTGTGTGTATTTATTGTCCCATAGTTGAAATTACAGCTGCGATTGCAATTACTGATGCGTAAAAGACGCATTATTTTAGCGGAATGTTACACAAATGCGTCCCCGACACAGCTAATGTAGCTTTTGATCACTGATCTACGTGATCTACGAGTGATGTGTGTGTTCAGAGTCTGGGCTTGAAAGTGCATTACACAAAGATAGGAGGAGACGCAGATGCAGCGCTCACAAGAGCCAGCACCTGGCTGAACAGTGCGCATTATTGATGTAATTATATTATATATTTATTATTGACATTGATAAATACATTATAATGATATGATGTATATGAATATAAGATGTTGTTTTTCTTTCTTTGTTTTCTTAGTTTTTTTTGTTTTACATATCTTACAGCTGTGATACTGAAGCAATATATAGACATAGACAAACTGCTTCAGGAAGGGCATCAGGAGTACAGCGTTTTTTTCACTTGTAGTGGAATTTTGTAAAAATTATAATAGTCACAGGTTCAATTTTTTTCCCCATCAACCCCAAGACCCTAAATAACATTTCTATACAGTGTAAAAAGTTAGCAATAGCATTTCATTGTGTTTTTCAAAACATTTTGGTGAAATTGAATTTCCGTTTCATTTTTTTCTTTGTCTTCATGATTCCATATTTTTTATATAATTCATATGACAGCTGTACACTATGAATATTATAAATCCACAGGTTGTACTGAAAAAAACAAAGTTTACTGCTTGACTCTGCATCACAAGATGACTGTTTTATGAGCAATTATACACAAAGAAAACCAGGCGAGGAAAGTTCCCCAAAATGAGCTTAGACCTTGAAGGGTTAATGTCCGCTTCCTCCTTGTAGCTACAACACGTGGTGCGCCACGTGCATGACTGTAGTATGGCGTCAAAATAGGGTCTGCTTAAACGTAACCGTAAAGCAGGAATTGTAATTGTAACAGCTGCTCTCACGACATCAGCATGTCCACACAGGAGAGAGACCTCACCAATGTGACCAGTGTGAAAAGACTTTTACATGTTTATCTGACCTCACTGTGCACTACAGAATCCACACTGGAGATAAACCATTCGTCTGTGGAGACTGTGGGAAGAAGTTTACTCAGTCTTCACACTACAAAGCACATGAGAGAATCCACACTGGAGAGAAACCCTTCAGCTGCGACGATTGTGGTCAGAGTTTTTCTCGGAGTGGTCATCTCAAAGTGCATCAGAGGATCCACACTGGAGAGAAACCCTTCAGCTGCGACGATTGTGGTCAGAGTTTTTCTCGGAGTGGTGATCTCAAAGTGCATCAGAGGATCCACACTGGAGAGAAACCATTTGTCTGTGAAAAGTGCAAAAAGTCTTTTACTCAAAGTTCATCTCTTACTAAACACATTAAAACCTGTAGAGAAGCAGGTCTGAAGCAGGTCTGAAGCATCTGGACCAAAGTGAAGGAGACAGAGCTGAGGCTGCATCCTGTGAACCCAGAGTCAGACTCTACAGGATCTCACTTCAGTCTTAACTCCTGGTTTGGGGAAAGAATCCATTCTGTTCAGTGTTTCATTTTCATGTTTGACTTTTCTGTTCCTTGTTGTGACTCTATGATGTTGGTTTGTTGTGTCTTTGTGTCTGTAATTAGTTCCTGTGTCCTGATTGTTCATTTTTCACGTTTTCAAGAACAGACCATAATAAATGACATTTGAGTTGAGTCTTATTTTCCTCCATGTTTGTAAAGTCTTTGAATAATATGAAGGACATGAATCACAATCAATCACAGAATCAAATCACAAAACTGTCGAATATTGTAAGAATCTCAATAATATTGAATTGTGACAAATATCACTGTTAAATGTCTGTCACTACATTTCCCATGATGCACCTGTTAATATTGTAGTTCCCCAGGGTCTCCCGTAGCCATGTTCAGAGCTGTTCTTTACAGTGTTAGGGGCGGAGCGTGCATCATGCCAACCATCAATAATCCTGTGTGTATAAGTTCTGTGTGCGTCTATGCAAAGTGAGTACCATGTGCCAATCTATATTTATGCTCCATTTATATACTTTAATGTCCGCTTCCTCCTTGTAGCTACAACACGTGGTGCGCCACGTGCATGACTGTAGTATGGCGTCAAAATAGGGTCTGCTTAAACGTAACCGTAAAGCAGGAATTGTAATTGTAGGTTGTAAGTATTGTAAACATTAAAAATATATTGTAAATGAAAAAATTTAAAACTTACATTTACGGTTCTGATTTTTCATGTTTCGCTTCAAAAGTTACGTTTACGATTCACAAGTTATGTTTACGATTCACAAGCTACGCTTACGGGTCAAAACTTACGGTTACGATACATTTTTCATCTGACCCCTTTTTGGAGGGGCGGGCTCAGCGCGCCCATTGGCTGGAGACACCGGATGTTACGTCATCACAAAAGCAAAACACACACCATTCAAAATTCAAGTCTCGTTCGAACTCTCTACATCGTATGATTGATCACATTTTTTCAACTGGGCTGGCTATTATAGGCTTTCACGTGGTATGTGCACTCTTGTGGACACCCTAATTACACCAGGTCATGTTTAGATCGTGTGAAATATGCTCTCGTAATAACGTCATATGCCTGTGTTACCCCAAGGCTAGCCAGCTAAGCTACATCTCGGCACCTTCATCACCACTGTACGTTGTTCACACTGAATGCTTTGTCATGTCAGGATTATCTACTGCTATCAAAGGTGAATAAAACTATGTCTTTGATTTTTTGTTTGCTTATTATTTACATAATTATAGCGGCTTACCTAATGAGCCCATGCTAGCTAGCAATGAATCTTGTCAGTCCATAACCTGTACATAAAGTTTTGAAACAAATGAGGTAACTAGCTGAATGATTAAACAAATCTGTGAAACTTGCTAAATAGTACGTTTCATTGGCTTCATGATATCTTATCAAAATTAACTTAAAGTTAAGTAGCTCAAATCGGGGTTAACCTGTTAAGGCTATTAATTTTACGATATTTGGCTACTGTACCTGTACTGTGTTTGCTAATTTAGGATGGCTAACATCCCTAAAATCACACAGAAACCCTGAATAGTTCTGATCTTGCAGGTTATCTCTGCGATGGGCACCAGCACCACACATTGCAGACCAGCAAGATTTAAAACTGTGGTTTTATAATAATCTATATAAATGTGATGTATTTTCATGTCTTAGGGACCATGTCTGCAAATTAAGTGCTAGCTATACAGCCTATGAACATGGTATTGGCCACCTGTATCAATACTTTTAGTTCTGTGCCTATCAAATAAACATATAATAGCACTATTCTCACAGAACAGTGGGTTGTAGATAGGAGTAAATGGCCGTCTGTTACCTGGCCTAATATCTATAACTTCCTCATCCAGACATACAGTGTTTATACCTGACTGGCCTCCTCCAGATCTCCACACCTGCCCGCTCCCTCCGCTCCTCCTATCCTCTCCAGCTCTTGGTCCCTCCTGCCCGCCTTGTCACCATGTTGAATAGAGCCTCTCCAAATCCACCCTCAAACTCATCTGTTCAGACAAGCCCACTCACTAACATCATAACCACACTCTCCTCTCTCCATGATGCTTTTAACTGTTTTTAAAATACACTTTTTTACTTGGTTGTAAGGCAACCGTGAGTGTCGAGAAAACAAATTATTTAAAAAAAATCAAAAGCATATACATCTATAAATACATACAATTTATGTGTTATGTGGACAATGTGAAGAATGTGAAATACTTCCACTCTGGGACTGAGTTCTATGTTTTGAGGCTGATGTGCTCCCAGTCAGAGAGTGGGCATTAAGTCAAAGCCTTATGATGCCTGGGTGTACGTTTACAAAGACTTGGGGTACATCCTTACCCTGAACTGTTCCTGTATGGCAGGGTATGGACATGTAACTTGCTTTTAATGTTCAATTACAGTCTTAACCTGGTGCACACCCATTAACCCCTTTATTAGTGTAATCTGCGTTATGTTTTATGTTCTGCGCTGTCTGAAGAAGGAGCAGGACACAAGGAGGATCACTGGATGACATTTACTAGTAGCTCTGCACAAAATAAAACACATCCACTTCACGTCTATCCATGCATTCAGCTCAGCAGTCCCCTCCTCAGATGTAAGGCGCAGTTCTCCTGATAAAGGGAAAAAGCCACATTAATAAGTAGTTAATACATTTTGAGTGGTATACAGGTTGATCACTTTTGTTCTCCAGTTGTCTTTGTATTAATGGTAAAAAGACAAGTTTGTGATTTTAGATAGTTTTACAGCTCTAAAATATAGGTGTGCTCTTCATCCACTCACAGTATCAGTATTGTTGTGACTAGAAGGCTACACAGGCTCACTTATGAACAACTGTTTAGTTAGTTATTTGAAGACTGTTTCTCCTCAGACTAAAACGAAAGAGCCTCCCTAGCTACTTATTTAGCAAAACAGCTAATGTTAGCATTTTAGCAACGTTAGCTGTTTGTTATAGCGGCGCTAAAAGTGAGCTGGCTTTAACTTGACTGATCATGATTAAATCAGGTCACAGCGGGTTATCTTCTTTTATTATACGGCTCCTCACAGCAGCAGTAGAACGCTCCATTGATTTGAATGTAATTTCAAAACGTTCTACCGGTCATTATTTTCTATAACGGACCTCTCAAAACAATAATGACCGCTGCCCATGGCAACGCACTCTGTGCTTGTCTTTCAAATGCGTGGATAACTCCGCAAGTAGTTCCGGCCACTCCTGAGCTAGCCACGCTCAATAAACACACTTAAATGTTAATCGGAGAATACTTATACATATACATTCTTCACACACGTGCACGGAAATTTTCAGAATTTTCTGGTCTTGTCTTCATGACAAAAATACTATTTCTCTGCGTCAAAAAGCGATCGTGAAAACCCCGGAAGTAGTTCTGGCCGCTCAATAAACGCAAATGCCAATCAATCAACGCAATGAAATGTTTATCGGAGAGTGAATTATACATATCCAGTCTTAATACAAGTGCACGGAAGTTTTCAGAATTTTCCGTTTACGTTTTCATGACAAAAACACTGATGTAATGCGAGAAAAGGCGATCCCGAAAAACCCGGAAGTAGATACCGGCACATTTTAAGATACCGGCACATTTTCGGACACATTTGCAGAGGATCGAATTATGGATTTAGGTTAGGTTTATGTATGGGTCACTCACCGCTGATGTTCAGAATTCTTTGTTCAGTTTTCATGCAGTTCCAGAGAGTTCTAGTTTGGAAGTTGCCAGCCTGTGTCATGGTGTGGGTTTTATTTTTGTATTTTTGTTTTATTTTGACATTGTTCTCTGTGGTTTGGTTTTAGTTGTACTTCCTGTCCTGTTTGCCCCTATCTTGATTGTCTGCCCTGCCCTGATGTGTTTCACCTGTGTCTGTGTGTGTCTATATGTACCCTGTGCTCCTCTCCCCATGTTGCTGGTCCATTGTCTTGTTCATGTCCTTGTCTGTTCTGTTTTGTTCCGTTCCTGGTTCCCTGTGGTTTTGGATTTTTGAGTATATTTTCATCTACCATTTAGTTTTTTCATCATTAAATTATTTTTATTTTGGCATTTCCTGCATTTTGAGTCCTTCATTCGCCTCCCCCCATGACAGCCTGACTGTTGCTAGCATAGCCACAATTGTCAAAGCCACACTGCCTGCCCGCGGTTGCCGAGCAACGGGAAAACTTTTTGGGACTACTTTATTTGTTGTCATTAAATAAACTTTTGGCATTCATAAAAGTGATCTGAAGTTTATTTTGTGTGTTAAGTTGGTACAAAGCAGTATAATAAGCGGGATAATGTATAGCCTACAGGTCATTATCGGAAAATAAGTACCTTCAGGGCGGAAGCAGACCCCTCCGCTGCGCTGAGGCCGCCCCTCCAAAAAGGGGTCAGATGAAAAATGTATCGTAACCGTAAGTTTTGACCCGTAAGCGTAGCTTGTGAATCGTAAACATAACTTGTGAATCGTAAACGTAACTTTTGAAGCGAAACATGAAAAATCAGAACCGTAAATGTACGTTTTAAATTTTTTCATTTACAATATATTTTTAATGTTTACAATACTTACAACCTACGATTACAATTCCTGCTTTACGGTTACGCTACAGTTTTTTCGTTTACAATATTTTTTTATGTTTACAATACTTACAACCTACGTTTACAATTCCTGCTTTACGGTTACGTTTAAGCAGACCCTATTTTGACGCCATAAGTTTGATCTTATGAGCCTAAAAGTTGCTCTATTGGGTCATGATGAGCTCGTTTCCAACTGATTCTTGGTACTTTGTGGGCAGTTTGTTATCTGCTCGTCAGTCTTTATCTGCTGCGCTCCACGGCACAGGAAATACATTCTGACTGCGGTGAATTAGAGTCTCGTGCTTTTGCTCAGTGTGACATGAGATCTGAGACGTGCTGTTTTCTTTCAGAGCGGGTCTGTTGGAGTCAGCGCTGGATCCTCTGAGCCTCAGACCCAGTCCCAGCCTCTGTCTGAGCCTCTGGACCTGTTCAGTGAAGCAGACCCCTCGGCCCAGTCCAACACTAACGGGGTTCACTCTGACGACGAGGGCGACCTGTTTGCCGGTTAGAAAACATCCATAAATACAGCCCTAAAGAACTCTGAGCTTATTCACCTTTTAAACAAGAAGCTTTTCAACCATATTCTAACTTTGTTCTGTGGAAACTTATCTGTCACACACAGTGATGACCGAACATTGATCAGACTCTGCTCAGGTGTGAGGTTTTTTTTTACAGAACACATGGCTGGGTCGGAAAGGGCGTTTTCAGAAGTTTTTTATTAAAAACTCTCAGTACAAAAAACAGTGGGAAATTAAAATAAACGTTTTTACAGAACACAGTGAAAAGTCTTCAGGCGAAAAGGATATTTACAAATAAAAATACACACGACTTCTGCAATAAGTCTCTTTTCCCTTACTTTCCACTCAAGCTCCTGCAGTCCACATTACCTTCACTGTAAAGGGGCGTTCACACCGGACTTAACTTCGGCGTCAAAAGCATCAGGTTTGCATTGAAAGTGAATGGTGAAGCGCGTCCGGTGAAGCCGAGGGGCCCGGCGTCACTTGGCGCGCGTCAAAAGCTTCAAAGGTCGCGCGTAATACGCGCTCACTTGAAGCTTTTGACGCTCGTAACGCTCGCGTATCAAAACAATCCCTTTGACGCCGAAGCTGAGCAAAGCTGAGCTTTTGAAGCTTTGACGCGGGCTTCAACCAATCAGGAGACGAGGAGCAGCAGCAGCAGAGGGTCTGTCTCTGTCATGAAGAGAAGTCATGCTGCTGCTGTTTTATTGAGAATGAGGAGTTGACGTCACGGCACAGAGTCCCCCCTCCCCATCCCCCCTTTGCCGACATATTGGCTGCGCACCGGTGGCGGCAGTACAGTTTGTTTACGTGTGTTGTGAACGCGGTAGTAGCGGAGGTTCTTGCTATTCCGCACTGTTTTATCATGCCTGGAAATAACTGCTGCGTTAAAAACTGCTCCAATACCTCCCACGATGGATATGGAAAACCTAGTAACAACGGGATACAGTTTTTTAGGTTACCGAAATGGAAAAAGCATCAAGGGGAGCAATTCTCTGACCTGACAAGGAGACGTCGGATTGCTTGGTTGGCTGCAATTAGAAGAAAGGACCTTACTTTCGATCACACACCCCTGTCGACGAGAGTGTGTTCTCTGCATTTTCACTCTGGTACGTTCTCTAAAAATGTATTTATGTAGTTGTCTCTTAAAGCTAGGAAGTGTAGGTTAGCATATGTTATTATGGTTTCTGTAGTGCCTTTGTCTCTGTGTCTTTGTTACCCTCTCAGGCTGTTTCTTACTTAGCACGTGTTCTGCGAGGTCTTTGCCAGTGTAAAGCATAGATTACATAGATTGTACACATAATCTAATTATTCTGTTGTACATAAACCTTCATATGACATTATGAGGTGACCTAAAAAGTACTTGAGATGCTGTTCATGACATAGTTGCCAGTTTAAAAGCATTGATTACATAGATTGTGCAAATTATTATATTAATTATATGTTGTTATTATTCTCGTGTAGGTAAACCAGCATATGAGATGTTGGAGAACCACCCTGACTGGACACCATCCCTGTTGTTAGGCCACAATGATGTACAAAAAACAGATGAAGCGAGATATCAGCGGCAAGTAAGGCGCAGGTCCCTGCCACTGGAGCGGCAGCCACCTCCAGCCCAACACCAGCCGCAGGCGCGCCTCCAGCCCTAGACCAGCTGCAGCCGCCACCAGCCCTAGACCAGCTGCAGCCGCCACCAGCCCTAGACCAGCCGCAGGCGCCGCCGCCACCAGCCCTAGACCAGCCGCCAGCTGACCCGGACATGGAATGTGGACTCTGCACATCTAGACGAGATGTTATCAACAATCTTCTTGAAGAAAACAGACAGCTGAAGCGTGAGCTTGATACGTACCGGATGAATGAGAACTTTCTGAGTGGTGATGATAACACAGTGAAGTATTACACGGGGCTTCCAAACTTTGCATTGTTCCAGACACTTCTACTCTACCTAACTCCAGATCTGCCTCAAGGTAGAATGAAGAAGCTCTCACCCTTCCAGCTTGTCCTATTGACTTTAATGCGCCTCAGACTGGACCTTCCAATACAGCACCTCAGCCATCTGTTTAGAGTACATAGGACAACAGTCGCCGATGCCTTTCACCATACCCTTGGTGTGATGTACGCACAGCTGTGTCCATTGGTGCTAGGGAATGCTTATTGACCAGTATGCCACACCAGTTTGTGGAGTCATTTGGGAACAATGTGGCTGCCATTGTGGACTGCTTCGAGGTGTTCATCGAGAAACCTTCCAATGTACTAGCAAGGGCACAGACTTTTTCTCAATACAAACACGCATACACTATGAAATACCTAATCGTGATCACGCCCCAGGGTGTAATTTCCTTCATATCGAACGGGTGGGGTGGGCGCACAAGCGACAAGCATATAACCGAGCAAAGTGGTTTCCTGAACAAGCTGTTACCAGGTGACATTATGCTGGCAGATAGGGGCTTTAATATAAGAGAACATGTGGGCATGATGTGTGCTGAAGTGAAAATACCTACATTCACCAGGGGTCGTGCTCAGCTTGAGGCGAAAGATGTGGAGGAGACTAGGGCCATAGCACATCTCAGAATTCACGTGGAGAGGGTGATCGGTGTTGTGCGCAACAAATTCTTACACTCAACTGTACCTGTGCACATGCTTGTCAAATGTGAGGGTGAAAACCTAATGCCTTTGGATAAGATTGTCATTGTTTGCTGTGCCTTAACAAACATGTGCAAAAGTGTTGTTTGAGTACCTTATTCTTTACTGTATCTTTTATTTTTAAATAAATGCATGAAACAACTTGATATGGTTTACCAATATTTATTGAGAAATGAATATTTGAATATTATTGTTATTAGTAATATTATTTGTATGAGTAGTAACGTTCTGAGTAACTAAAACCATTGTACACATGCTGTGTAGTAAACGTAGTTTATTTAAAATAAGAACAGGCTGACGATGAGTCTGGCTCAGAGCAAGGCAGCTCCGGGCGGGCGAGAGCCGGGGAGAGGCAGGGAGAGGCGAGCGAGAGCCGGGGAGAGGCAGGGAGAGGCGAGAGAGAGCCGCGGAGAGGCAGGGAGAGGCGAGCGAGAGGCGGGGAGAGGCGATCGAGAGCCGGGGAGAGGCGAGCTCCGGGGTTTGAGAAGTCAGACTGGGCGAGTGACATGCGGAAGTACCGCTGAAAGCGAAACTCCTCCGTACGCAGCTCCGGGAGTAAATGACGGAACTCTGCAAACACTGCAGCCTCTCAAGTCTGTGGTGAACCCAGAACCTGTTTTGTTGAAGCCCTACAACAACGTTATTCTACTTTATATAACAAATAAAGGCTCGCTGCTCATTGAAAACTCCACCGCTGTCCTGACAACAGACAACAGAGAAGCTCCTCCCACCGGCGTCAGGCGCGTCACTCGCGTCAAAAGCTTCAAGCATCAAAATGACAAAACTATCCCGGCGTAAGTTGAAGCGCGTCAAAAGCTTTTTGAAGCTTTTGGTCTGAACGCGCCTTAATGAGTCACACCCCCAAATGGGGCAGACAAGCACACGTTTTGTACTCTGCTGGCCCCTCCCACATTACAAATCAATTATCCTAATATTACATCATATCTACACTACATGAGTATTTCCGTAGGTTAATGATTTCATATTACAGTTCCACATTGACACATTTATCATCAAATACATTGAGCTACACACTACGAAGAGTCCAAATGTCCATGCAAATGAGCTGTGGTCCACATGACCCACAGACAGGTGCATTTAATCCTATGGCTCCTTGTGTCCGGGTTTGCCAAAACGCACCACGGAGACGCCACGACCACGCCAGCACAGGCGAGTGAATGACACATGTAACTAGATGCAACTGCCCCAAGTGTGCGCCCTGAAGACGCGTTACCGCACGCTACATGTCACAAACACAATCCTTACTGCCAGTAGTCAATGAATGGGTTTGGGCTTTGCGCGCAGCCACCATGGCACCGGGCGCGCGCAACTTCAGATGCGCTCCGTGGGACAGCGTGCTCAGGGACGGGCTCACCCCGTCACATCAGGAATAATAAAGGGGTTCAATCTGAGACAGAAAACAAACAATCCTGGGTCTAAACAAAAGATGACGGCAGAAAGAACACTGTCCTCTTCATACTGTAGCAGCGATCGCAGATCAGTCCGTAGTGGTAGTATTAGTGGTAGTATTAGTGGTAGTATTAGTGGTAGTATTAGTGGTAGTATTAGTGGTAGTATTAGTGGTAGTATTAGTGATAGTATTAGTGATAGTATTAGTGGTAGTATTAGTGGTAGTATTAGTGGAGTATTAGTTAGTATTAGTGGTAGTATTAGTGGTAGTATTAGTTGTAGTATTAGTGGTAGTTGGGGCTGGGCAATAAAACGATAACGATATATACCGCGATAGACACGTGTTCGATATCAATAGAAAACAAGGTCGATAGAATGTTTGATAGTTCAACTTCACTTCAAAAACAGGAAAACACAGGAAGTAAAGCAGAGTCAGAAGCACATGGCATTCTGGGGGACGTAGGCAAAGACTTCTCAACCTATCACAGCCGAGTATAAACCGCAAAGCATTCTGGGAAATGCAAAAAAACAAACAACCGCAACAGTCTGACCGCACCATGTGTAGCGTCCATGGATCTAATGGCGCTTTTCCACAGCACCGGCACTACACCACTCTACACGACACGTCACGACCCGGTCGAGTACGCGTGCTTTTCCACATATCTCCATCGGACATCTTCAAGTGGGTGGGCTTTTCATACCACCGCTACCGCTACGCCATTTCCGCGCGACTCACGAGCATGAAACCAGGAAAAACATTACATCCTCAAAGTCCTCCATAGATACCACTACAGAGACCGCTAACTTTTAAAAATGGGTTTCAGCACTTGCTCGCATTGCACAAAAATAGTGCTGGTTCCATTCTGTACAATCTGAATGGGACCTTTAGCAACAGCGGCCTGTGTAGCAGAGCATGCATGTCCGAGGATACTGCTAGGCTATAGCTAATGCTAGCGCTAGCTCGAGACTCAGCTCACTCACTAACCCTGGATTCCAAAGCTTCTACAATACTACACTTAACACATCCATCACTACCATCAGAGGAGGATCCGGGGTTTAAACTCGTCATATGGCAACTCGAGCAGTAAAGGACCGAGGGAGAGACAGCGGCAGCCATAGGGGTAGCGAGTTGGCGGCTAAGCTAGGCTAAGCTAGGCTAGGCTAGTCCGGACTCGGGTCTGGACTACAGCAGACTCCGAGACCAGACAAACAATCGATACCCAAACCTCAGATACAATTATAATAAATGAATGAAACACAGTCTTGATACAATCACAAATTTATTGAAAACAAAAGTAAAGTGCAAAACCAACAGTTTACAAAGTCAAAAGTACGTATGTGTGAGACCAGATGAGGAGAATACTCCGGTCACTCATTGCTCGTTGGTAGTCTCCACACTTATGGGAAGGGATTCTCATACAAATATACACACAACAACTTAAATACAAGCACAAAACAGAATGACAACACGTGAATACTGCAGATTATACGAGATAAAGCACAGTAGCACAGGAGGACGTTAGCTTAGCTGCTATCGATAGCTAAATGAAGCTAAATGTAGCTAGCTCACTGTGTACAACAGACAATCGAACATTTACACAGTAAATACATTTCAGTGAGAGCTTTAACAGGATTTGTAGCTAACCAGTTATTCCAGGATTACCACAGACTAGTCACAAATCCAGAGCTGGTGATCTCCTGAAAACTGTGTTGAGCCTCGAGCTGCCTTTGAATTCTTTCTTTGGCCTGAAGAGAGGAACGTGTGGACCTCTTCCACCGACCAGGACCAGGACCAGGACTTTTGGGGCTTTCTGTGCAATTCCATTTCTCTGGAGTGAGGAGGACGTAATGTAGCCGAAGCAGAGCCGAGCAGAGCAGCCTGTTTTAAAGATGGCGGTTGAGTTGTTTTTCCCAAAGGGTCAGATGTCGCGTCCAGTGACGACACTCGATCGTTGACCAATCAGCGTAGGCAGTCCGCTTACGTCACGAGCGTGTAGCTTTTTGGAACCGCTCCAGAGGCGGTCCGAAAATAGAACACAATACCTAGCTTCAACGCTAGTGGAAATGCAAAAGTAACGCGCCGTGTCGTGTAGAGTGGTGTAGTGCCGGTGCTGTGGAAAAGCGCCATAAGGGAAGATAGACACATGTAAAGTTATGGTCCTGAGTTAGCCCAATAGATCCAGGACTGAGGCTGTAGACCCAGGACTGAGGCTGTAGACCCAGGACACACACTTAAAAACTGTTACAGAGTCTAGTGCTTTATGTATTCTGTCATCCTATCATAAGCACCGCCAGCGCGCATGCGCGTGTGTCTTGTATACGGCCTCGGCGCCGCAGCCTTGCTCAGTTTGATAAAGCACCTTAAACTTAACACGTGTCTCCGCATTCATTCTCTACCGTTCTGCACTAGACACAAACAAAACTTGACTTAAAATGACTTTAATGAAAGTGCACCTTTTCGTTTACACTTCTCCTGACGGCCTCCCCCTGCCCCCCCAGGCGCTCCCAGCCACCCCCACGTGGTGAAGACGGCCTCCATCGGGACCCTGGGCTGGACGCGGACCCCGATGATCGTGACGGTGCCCAACGCCCCGGACGTCCCGGAGACCAGCCGGATGTTGGAGGACGTGGACAGTGTGAGTCTCGGACACGTCTTCCTGAACATCGACGTGCTCCTCTGACCTCACGCTCACAGGAACCGTCCGGACGCCGCCGTTAACTCTGTCTCTCTGTTTCTCCTCTTTTCCGTCTGCTTCTGTTGCTTCTGTCGGCGCATGTTTGTCTTTTAATCAATAACTTTTCAAAAACACCTGGAATGATTTTGTTGCTTTTTTGTTTCGTTTATTTGGAATGCTTTTCTGGATGTTTTTCCGGCTGCTTTTTTCTTTTGGCTTCAGTTTCTTTGACCCATTCTCATTTCATTCATACAGTAAGGGGCTGTTCCTGCTGCAAAGACGTGGACTTTCAATGGGAAGTGTTTTATTTCTAGGGTGACAAGGGCAGTGCTAGCAAACAAGCTAAATGTATGAGCTAGAATGAGGTTATAAAACACATAAGTCGGGACTAAGTCGGGACTAAGTCGGGGCTAAGTCGGGGCTAAGTCGGGGCTAAGTCGGGGCTAAGTCGGGGCTAAGTCGGGGCTAAGTCGGGGCTAAGTCGGGGCTAAGTCGGGGCTAAGTCGGGGCTAAGTCGGGGCTAAGTCGGGGCCAAGTCGGGGCCACTGTCTGACCATGTGATCATAATTCTGGACCATGTATAAATAGGTCTTAAACCTGGCCTGGTCTGGTCTCCAAAGCTCAGCAGGTCTTTAGTTCGGAAGCTGTAAAGTGCAAGGGAAATGTCAGTGTTGTATTACCAGTTAAAGAACAGAAGAATGAGGTTAATATAAAGTATAGAACAACTCTATACTTCTCTATATTTTTTGGTTAATAAAAAAGCAAGACCCGGTCCAGAACCAGATGTTTTTTATTGCCGTAGGTCACAGGAGGTCACAGGAGGTCACAGGAGGTCACAGGAGGTCACAGGAGGTCACAGGAGGTCACAGGAAGTCACAAACTAGGAATCTCTTTGGCTCCAGGTGCAGAGAAGTCGTTAGAGTAAAAAGGTAAAGGCAGCATAAAGAGGCGTCGATAAACCAGATTATTAACGCCATAATCCAGCCTCAGGTCTACCCCAGACTTACCCCAGGTCCAGGTATCACAGGTACAGGACATCAGCTGCAGTCTTTGCCTCAGCATCAGCCCCTCCCCCTGCCCTCCTAACCTGACTGACCTGGGCTTGCTCTCCCCCCTCTCCCCCTCTCCCCCCTCTTCCCCCCTGGCTCTCCTGCAGGTCCTGGCCTCCCTGACGCCCTCCTCCGCCTCGCGCAGTAACGCCCCCCCTCCTGTGCCTCTCCCGCAGAGCTACGAACCCGACGAGCTGACGGAGGAGATGGCCCACCTGGAGGGCCTCATGAAAGACCTGAACGCAATCACCACCGCGCCCTAGGGACCCCGCCCCACCCCACCCCAACTCAGCACCCTAAGGACCCTACCCCGCCCTCGCCACAACACCCAAAGGACCCCACCCCGCCCTCGCCACAGCACCCAAAGGACCCCCCCACCTCGGTGGCCTCCCCCGGTCCCGTGCTCCCCTACCCCTGGTCCCCCGGTCTCGCCCCTGAACCTGGTGCCTTGATCTCTTACCCGTGTCCTCGCAGCCCTTGTCCATACCGCCACTGGTTGCCGGCTCTCTCGCGCCCTGGCCGGGTTCCTCGCCTGGCCTCCCCCGTGTCCGCGCAGCTCCCCTGGCGCTCTCCCTGGGCGTCGCTCACCCTGTCTCTCAACCTGGTCTCCTCACCTGGTCGCGCACCTGGTCTCTCCTCCCCTGGCTCTTCCCTTCTCTCCCCTGGTCCGCCCCCTGTCGATACATTCTTCCATACGGGGGTAATATCTTTACGTAACTTCTAGGTATGGCCGGGTCACATAAATGCGTCTTGTCCCGGAAAGCATCACTCCCCCCACAACAAACTGCGTTTCTTCTTCTACAAGTACCCTTTTTTCCGCAGACACCGCTGCCTGATCAAGGAAGCAGCAGTCAACGCCCAGACTAACCGAGCACGCCGTCCATGTGGAGGGAACTCGTTGACCAGTGGGGTGATCGTGTAGTGTTAGACACACAGAATACTCCGCTCTGTGCGTGTCATGTTTTCTTCCATGGGTTCTTTCTTGGTTCTGTTCTTGGTTTCTGTCACCGGTATTCATTCGGTATTCTTTATTTTTTTACACCGTAGTCCGTAGCTACATGTCATATGTTATTTTTATTTGCTGTCTTTATCCATAAGTTCCTCTCAAATGAACTCAAAAAATGCTGGGCGAGCCTACGAACGCCGCCTGGACGCCTCCCTTGGGTGGTTTCCGCATACTCCCACTGGAGGAGACCCCGGAAGACCTAGACACCTGAGGACTATGTCTCTCAGCTGAGGAGCACAGGGACTGGCCTCCTGCTGGGACTGAGGAGCACAGGGACTGGCCTCCTGCTGGGACTGAGGAGCACAGGGACTGGCCTCCTGCTGGGACTCTGAGGAGCACAGGGACTGGCCTCCTGCTGGGACTCTGAGGAGCACAGGGACTGGCCTCCTGCTGGGACTCTGAGGAGCACAGGGACTGGTCTCCTGCTGGTCCCAGAGTCAGGACTAAACATGGGGAGGCAGTGTTTCAGATTTATGCAGCTAAAAACAGTCTTCCAGAAAACGTGAGACGGGCAATATTCAAATCCAGGTTAAAAACAGATTTAATCCTGACTTTCTGATTTAAAGCCTTGTCTTGTGAGTTGCCGTGTGTGGACTGTGCTATACCAATAACCTTGCCTAATGCTAAAGGGTTATGAACATATGACATCAGTGACTTTTCCGCGTGGCCTCGCACCAGCATTTTTGTGTTACAATTTGAGTAAACTTCTGAACCATCAAACGACAGAATAAAAATAACATATGTACATGTAGATACGGATACAGGTGTAAAAAATAAAAGAATACAGAATACATACAGGTGAACAGAACCATGAACAGAACCATGAACAGAACCATGAACACGCTCAGAGCAGAGGAGTCATTCTGTGTCCGTCCTAAAAACAACAAAGTTCACAATCTGGTCCCAAAGAGTTCCATCCACATGGACGGCGTGCTCCGGTGTCTGGCCGTGACTGCCCTTCCTCTGATTGGCTGCGTCCGTCCTGAGAAAAGGTACTTGTAGAAGAAGAAAGCAGTTTGTTGCTGGGGGACGTGAATGCTTCTCGGGCACAAGACGCCATTTTGTGTCCACGGAAATCACAGTTGCATCTTTTTGTTTTCCCCCCGTTTGGATTGAATGGTATAGACCAGGGGAGAGACCAGGGGAGAGACCAGGTGAGAGACCAGGTGAGAGACCAGGTGAGAGACCAGGGGAGAGACCAGGTGAGAGACCAGGGGAGAGACCAGGGGAGAGACCAGGGGAGAGACCAGGGGAGAGACCAGGGGAGAGACCAGGGGAGAGACCAGGGGAGAGACCAGGTGAGAGACCAGGTGAGAGACCAGGGGAGAGACCAGGTGAGAGACCAGGTGAGAGACCAGGTGAGAGACCAGGGGAGAGACCAGGGGAGAGACCAGGGGAGAGACCAGGACCAGTGGAGCTAGGACAAGGGTAGAGACCAAGGAACCCAGGACCAGGGGAGACAGGACCAGGGGAGACAGGACCAGGGCAGGTTGAGAAGCTAGTAGCAGATCTTGTGTTTCTAATCTGGTGAAAGTGTAAAACAGCCGGAACAATCAGTTGTGTCCCTAGGGTGCTGTGGCGAGGGCGGGGTGGGGTCCTTAGGGTGCTGTGGCGAGGGCGGGTGAGGTCCTCAGGGTGCTGTGGCGAGGGCGGGGTGGGGTCCTTAGGGTGCTGTGTGGAGCAGGGTGGGGTCCTTAGGGTGCTGTGGCGAGGGCGGGGTGGGGTCCTTAGGGTGCTGTGTGGAGCAGGGTGGGGTCCTTAGGGTGCTGTGGCGAGGGCGGGGTGGGGTCCTTAGGGTGCTGAGTTGGGGTGGGGTGGGGCGGGGTCCCTAGGGCGCGGTGGTGATTGCGTTCAGGTCTTTCATGAGGCCCTCCAGGTGGGCCATCTCCTCCGTCAGCTCGTCGGGTTCGTAGCTCTGCGGGAGAGGCACAGGAGGGGGGGCGTTACTGCGCGAGGCGGAGGAGGGCGTCAGGAAGGCCAGGACCTGCAGGAGAGCCAGGGGGGAAGAGGGGGGAGAGGGGGAGAGGGGGGAGAGCAAGCCCAGGTCAGTCAGGTTAGGAGGGCAGGGGGAGGGGCTGATGCTGAGGCAAAGACTGCAGCTGATGTCCTGTACCTGTGATACCTGGACCTGGGGTAAGTCTGGGGTAGACCTGAGGCTGGATTATGGCGTTAATAATCTGGTTTATCGACGCCTCTTTATGCTGCCTTTACCTTTTTACTCTAACGACTTCTCTGCACCTGGAGCCAAAGAGATTCCTAGTTTGTGACTTCCTGTGACCTCCTGTGACCTCCTGTGACCTCCTGTGACCTCCTGTGACCTCCTGTGACCTACGATGGCAATAAAAAACATCTGGTTCTGGACCGGGTCTTGCTTTTTTATTAACCAAAAAATATAGAGAAGTATAGAGTTGTTCTATACTTTATATTAACCTCATTCTTCTGTTCTTTAACTGGTAATACAACACTGACATTTCCCTTGCACTTTACAGCTTCCGAACTAAAGACCTGCTGAGCTTTGGAGACCAGACCAGGCCAGGTTTAAGACCTATTTTATACATGGTCCAGAATTATGATCACATGGTCAGACAGTGGCCCCGACTTGGCCCCGACTTGGCCCCGACTTGGCCCCGACTTGGCCCCGACTTGGCCCCGACTTGGCCCCGACTTGGTCCCGACTTGGTCCCGACTTGGTCCCGACTTGGTCCCGACTTGGTCCCGACTTGGTCCCGACTTGGTCCCGACTTGGTCCCGACTTGGTCCCGACTTGGTCCCGACTTATGTGTTGTATGTCTTACATTTAGTTCGTTTGCTAGCACTGCCCTTGTCACCCTAGAAATAAAACGCTTCCCATTGAAAGTACACGTCTTTGCAGCAGGAACAGCCCCTTACTGTATGAATGAAATGAGAATGGGTCAAAGAAACTGAAGCCAAAAGAAAAAAGCAGCCGGAAAAACATCCAGAAAAGCATTCCAAATAAACGAAACAAAAAAGCAACAAAATCATTCCAGGTGTTTTTGAAAAGTTATTGATTAAAAGACAAACATGCGCCGACAGAAGCGACAGAAGCAGACGGAAAAGAGGAGAAACATAGAGACAGAGTTAACGGCGGCGTCCGGACGGTTCCTGTGAGCGTGAGGTCAGAGGAGCACGTCGATGTTCAGGAAGACGTGTCCGAGACTCACACTGTCCACGTCCTCCAACATCCGGCTGGTCTCCGGGACGTCCGGGGCGTTGGGCACCGTCACGATCATCGGGGTCCGCGTCCGGCCCAGGGTCCCGATGGAGGCCGTCTTCACCACGTGGGGGTGGCTGGGAGCGCCTGGGGGGGCAGGGGGAGGCCGTCAGGAGAAGTGTAAACGAAAAGGTGCACTTTCATTAAAGTCATTTTAAGAGAGGCAGGGAGTGACGTGCTGAGAGGCGGCGCCCTGAGACAAGATGGCGGCGCCCTGATGAATGAATCAAACAAACAGAAGTGCAACATAAGTACAACATTATCTGACAACTCTTATCAACGACACAAACCGCGTACATTACGCAAGGCTAAAAGTGGAGACTACCGAGGACCTCGAAGCCTACATCGATCGCTACTACTTTAATCTAAACAGCGACGGAATGGATCCAAACCAGGGAACCCCCAAACCACCGAAAAAAAGAAAGACAGACTCTGCAACGGACACTGACGATCTACAAACGATGGAAATTGAGGTTAGTTTGCGGGACAGTATTAACCAAAAATTAGCTATCCTTCCCGCTTTACACGAAGAAATTAAAGAAATTAAACGTAGCTTAGAATTTGCCCATGCTCAAATTGAATCCCTGCACAAATCCATTAACGAACTCTCGGGTACTGTAAAGTCCCTTACAAAGCAAATAGACACAATAACGTACGAAAATAAAGCGTTAAAAGAGACTGTACTGGACCTACAAACGCGTTCTATGCGGGACAACCTAATCACCACTGGACTGCCTGAAATGCCAGCGGAAAACGTGGAGAATGTAGTCATAGACTTTATCAAAACTCAGTTGAAAATACCACCGGACACACTTCATAATATCACCTTCCACCGTGTCCACCGCTTTGGGAATGCTTTTAGGAACAAACCCCGACCAATTGTTGCCAAGTTCGAACATTTCCAACACAAACTGCTAATCAAAAGCAAAGGCAAGGAACTTAAGGGAACGCATTTTGGACTGAACGAACAATTTCCAAAAGAAATTAATGAGAGACGGAAAACTCTCTACCCCATTATGAAAGAATATAGAAGCAAAAACATCCGCACATCGCTTGTTGTTGATAGATTGTACATTAATGGACAGTTGTTCAAAGATAGCAAAATCACACCCTGGCTTTTCTAATCAATGCACGCAATGCACTGTTATGATTGAAACATTTAACTCCTCCAGCACTTCAACATTCCAATTTAGGCTAAGTAATCAAAATTACTTACCTATACAGTGTACTTGTCCCATGGCTCTCATGATTAATATGTCAATGACGTCATTGTCTGTTCTCTGACCTTACACCCCCTTACTATTCCTAAATGTGTGTTTTTCTCACCTGTCTCTATTATGCTCGGTCCCTTTGTCCCCTATTTGTATTGTGATGTGATGTATTGTGATGCTTGCCCTGTCTTCCCACCCCCACATCCCACCTTTTTCTCTTCATCTAATTTTGTGTTACACCTTCTGTCCAGTTTTTGCACTTACAAAATATGTTCTATTACCCCACATCATCTGATAAATCATACAGCTGTCTTTTTGAACGCAACAAACACACTTCTGCATGCATGCTCTTAAAATCATAACATGGAATGTACGTGGCTTCCGTACCACCTCAAAAAGAACAAAAATAGTTAATCACTTATCAAAATTGAAGGCTGACATATGCTTTTTACAGGAAACTCACTTAACACAACCAGAATCACAACAACTCACACTTAAAAACTATAAGCACGTTTTCTCATCCACATTTAATAGTAAACAAAAAGGCGTGTCAATCCTATTCCATGAAAACATCCCAATTATGCATGAATCAACTCATACAGACCCAGAAGGAAGGTATATTATAATCAAAACTACCATTAATCACATCCCATACACATTTGCAAATATTTATGCCCAAATAACGATGACCCACAGTTTTTTCATAATGTTTTCTCCATTCTCCAAAACCACAGTAACATCATTCTTGCAGGGGATTTTAATACTGTTACTAGCCCTTCACTAGACCGCTCAAGTACTCCGGGTGGCACAAGACATTCCCACTCAGCAGAGGTAATAAAACAGTACATTCAGAACTACGGACTCAATGATAGTTGGAGAATGAGAAACCCCACGCACCAACAGTACACATACTTTTCTCCTCACCATCAATCATACTCCAGGATTGACATGTTCCTTATCAGTAACTCGCTTACCAAATATATAACTGAAAACACAATACATCCAATTATAATCAGCGACCATGCACCCGTCTCCTTGACAATATCTACTCAACTGAACACAAATAAACAACAGTCAAGATGGCGACTAAACACATCTCTCCTAGAAGACGCAGAATTCAACACATTAATACGGAGAGAGTGGGCTTCCTTCCTAGAGACGAACGACTCTCCAGACATCTCCCCATCACTCCTTTGGGAAACGGGAAAAACAGTTCTCCGAGGCACAATCATTTCCTTCTCCTCGCACAAGAAAAAAATCCAAAGAGAATTAGAAAACACTATTGAACAAAAAGTCAAACTACTTTCTCAGCAACACGTCGTAAACCCAAACAGACAATTGGAAGAATAATTGAATGAAGCAAAGGAACAACTCAATCATATAATAAACCAGAAGACAGATTTTATTATCCAGCAACTAAAATATGAACAATTCCATTATAGCAACAATAACAGTAAACTTCTAGCAAACTTACTACAGCAAAAAAAAGAAAGATCAATCATCACCTCACTACAAGATGAATCCGGTATTATAACACAAGACCCACAAGAGATAAACAATATTTTTCAACAATATTACAGAAAATTATACACTTCGGACAGGACGCCAGATACCACGACAGTAAAACAATTCATGGACACGCTAAACTTACCTACACTTACACCCGAACAAGTTGACCTATTAGATGCACCACTCACCGCAAATGAAATACTAAAAGCCTTAAACTCGATGCCAAATAATAAATCACCTGGACTTGACGGATATCCAGCCGAATACTACAAACATTTTTGGGATGTCTTATCACCACTCTTCATGAGAGTAATAGCAGAAATCAAATCAACTTCTATAATACCCACATATATGAATACAGCTACTAACACTCTGATACCGAAACCAAACAAAGACCCAACACATCCATCCAATTATCGTCCAATCTCACTGATAAACACAGATCTTAAAATGATAACTAAAACGCTTGCAACAAGAATAGAAACAGTCATACCTTCACTCATCCACCCAGACCAAACCGGATTCATCAAAAACAGACATGCATCAGACAATCTCAGGAAACTCTTCAATATAGTCCATAATGCTCAACAAAAACAACAAAATAAAACCATTATTCTCTCAATAGATGCTGAAAAGGCATTTGACAAGGTCAACTGGAAATTCCTCATTAATACATTACAGAAATTTGGTTTTGGAGAGTTGTTCGTCCAATGGATTCAGACACTTTACTCCTCACCTAGAGCCACAGTCACCACCAACGGCATTACCTCACCTAACTTCACGTTACACCAAGGAACCCGGCAGGGTTGCCCACTCTCTCCATCCCTCTTTGCCTTATTCATTGAACCTTTAGCAACAGTTTTACGGAGTAATAATGAAATTCAAGGGATCAAACAAGGAAACACTGAATACAAAATCAGCCTTTATGCAGACGACTTATTATTATATTTGCAACACCCACATACATCACTGCAAGAAACATTTAATACAATCAAAAAGTTGTCATCTATTTTGAATTACACAATAAACCGGACTAAATCAACCATACTACCACTAACCAAAGATGCATGGGATTCTGCAACTCAAAAATCATTTCCCTCCCTTCAGGCAAACAATATCAAATACCTGGGAATCACAATCTCACCCAGTCTGTCAGAGCTCTTCAACCTTAATTACACCCCACTGCTTAAAAAAATTGAAGACTCTTTAAAATGCTGGAATAACCTCCCATTGTCATTATTAGGCCGTATTGACACAGTCAAAATGAAAATTCTACCCCAAATCACATACCTATTTACAATGATCCCCATCACACCCACTGCTAACTGGTTCAAATCATTAAACTCTATTACAACACAGTTCTACTGGAGAAATGAAAGACCACGGATATCTCTTGCAACACTACAAAACGGAAAAATACAGGGTGGACTTGAAGCCCCAAACTTTATTCGCTATTTTTATGCCACTCAACTACAATATCTATACATTTGGATTTATAACAAAAACCATAACAAGCAATGGATTCAATTAGAACAAGACCAATGCAAAACACCCATAGCAGATCTCCCTTTTTTACCAGAATCAATAAAAAAACTCCCATATTTCAAATCTCTCACAATCTCGACGACTCTGACAGCCTGGTGGAAAGTTAACAAGATCACAAACTCTCTCTATCACCATGTAAACACACCCCTATCTGGCACAACCCCGACTTTCAATTGCAAAACTCACCCATTTATTTTCCACTGTGGCATGAAACATCTCTTTGAAAACCATACATTCATAGCATTCAACACACTCATTCAGAAGTACGGGATTGGGAGAGAGCAATACCTTCAATACCACCAACTCAAAGGCTTAATTATGAATAAAACTAAACTATCAGAAAATGCATTACAACCCTCAACACTAACCGATAAAATTCGGAATATAAAAAGTTAAAAAAAGATCACCTCTAAAATATACAAGTTAATCTCGTCAATAAACCCTCAGTTAACACTACCAGCAGAAAAATGGCAGCAAGATTTGAACTTCTCTCCTGATCCCTGCTTCTGGAAGAACATTTTTAGAAACATTTTCCTCACCACAAACACTAACATTCAGCTAACCCAATATAAAACCATTCATCGATATCACCTGACACAGAACTGGCTGAATAAAATGGAATTAGTAGACACAGACATTTGCACACATTGCAATCAGGATAGTACAGACACGTATTTACATGCCACTTGGAACTGTCCCCCGGTACAAGCACTCTGGATTGCAATAACAGATAAACTCTCCTCCATATTGAGTTGCAGAATCCCTTTAAATCCATTACTGTGTCTTCTAGGAGATATCACACAAATAGACCTACCACATGAATATCATTCTCCTCTCCTCATCTCTCTTACTCTCGCTAAGAAGGTTATATACCAAAACTGGAAAAACAAAAACACTTGCAATATCAACCACTGGACCAACATACTCAGAGACCATATTTTATTAGAAAAACAAACAGCAGAGAAGCAGAAGCATATGGCGGCCTTCACTAAATCATGGACTCTATTCATAAATAACCCCAGACCACCGCACCTCAAGACACAGAAAACACCTTCCTAGAATTATTGCTTACACTAATAGCAATGTATTGTATTGTTGTTGTTGTTATTATTATGGTTATTATTATTATTTACGTACATATGTGTGCGTGCGTGTGAGCGTGTGTGCGCGTGCACGCGTGTGTGTGTGTGTGTGGGTTATAGATATTGTAAAAAAAAAAAAAAAAAAAAGATATACCAGAAGTTTTGACTACACACACATGTGACACATACAATTACTTAAGATTGACCTATTATTATCTTCATAATTAATTAGTTGGACAATTATTAATTTGATTCATCAATTAGTTATTTGGATAATAAAAGCCTTCAGTTGTTTGCAAAAAAAATAAATAAGGGAAAAATAAATAAACATATACACACATGGCAAGGGATTCAGGACACATGAGGAGAACTTGAAGCAGCACCGCTGCTCCAACACTCCAATCATGTCCTTTTTAATGCATCTTAGACACACACACACACACACACACACACACACACACACACACACACACACACACACACACACACACACACACACACACACACACACACACACACACACACACACACACACAATCCATAAAGACAGCAGATAACAGGCAAAGAAGGTGGAGGCTGGAGTATCTCTTAACTCATAAAACATAAATTCAAATCGTATTAAATAATGTTGGTGTTGATGATCTTCTTAATTGACTTGTTGTTTATTATTATTATTATGTATTTTTTCTTTTTTTTCTTTCTAGCACGCACGCTTGCACGCACACACACACATACACACACACCGCCCATTGTGTAATGTTTCATGTTCTCTCAATATTTGTATCTCTTTGTTTGTCCCCATGTTCTGTCGCTGCTTCAATGTTTTTACACACACCACACAGACACACACACACACCGCACATGTGTAATGTTTCATGTTGTCTCAATATGTGTATCTCTTTGTATGTCCCCATGTTTTATGTCCCCCATGTTTTGTTCTTTTTGCTGTTGTACCAACCATTTTCACTTTGGTATGTCTATGTATCACTTTTGTATGTCTATGTATCACTTAATAAAACAAAAAAACAAAAAAGTCATTTTAAGTCAAGTTTTTAAATGTGTGTCCTGGGTCTACAGTCTCAGTCCTGGGTCTACAGCCTCAGTCCTGGGTCTACAGCCTCAGTCCTGGGTCAACAGCCTCAGTCCTGGGTCTACAGCCTCAGTCCTGGGTCAACAGCCTCAGTCCTGGGTCTACAGCCTCAGTCCTGGGTCTACAGTCTCAGTCCTGGGTCTACAGCCTCAGTCCTGGGTCTACAGCCTCAGTCCTGGGTCAACAGCCTCAGTCCTGGGTCTACAGCCTCAGTCCTGGGTCAACAGCCTCAGTCCTGGGTCTACAGCCTCAGTCCTGGGTCTACAGTCTCAGTCCTGGGTCTACAGTCTCAGTCCTGGGTCTACAGCCCCAGTCCTGGGTCTACAGCCTCAGTCCTGGGTCTACAGCCTCAGTCCTGGGTCTACAGTCTCAGTCCTGGGTCTACAGTCTCAGTCCTGGGTCTACAGTCTCAGTCCTGGGTCTACAGTCTCAGTCCTGGGTCTACAGTCTCAGTCCTGGGTCTACAGTCTCAGTCCTGGGTCTACAGCCTCAGTCCTGGGTCTACAGCCTCAGTCCTGGGTCTACAGCCTCAGTCCTGGGTCTACAGTCTCAGTCCTGGGTCTATACAGTCTCAGTCCTGGGTCTACAGTCTCAGTCCTGGGTCTACAGTCTCAGTCCTGGATCTATTGTGGGCTAACTCAGGACCATAACTTTACATGTGTCTATCTTCCCCTAGTCTCCTTCTTCATGAGACCCCAGTGAGTCTAAGTCTCGGTCTCTGTCTCGGTCTCGTACCGCTCTGTGTGAGCAGGGGCGTGCAGGGCAGGGCGGGGTTCTCGTAGGAGGGGTGGGCTCCCGGGGGGATGGCGGGGACTGCGAAGCTCTTCAGCGGGTGTGCGTGCACCGGGCGCAGAGGGGCCAGGCTGCCGCTATAGCTGCCCTCCTCCTCCGTGGTGCTACGACAACCATGTGGCACTATAGATGCCACCACACTAAGGAAGGAAGAGAGACGAGAACCATGTGGCACTATAGATGCTACGACACTAAGGAAGGAAGGGAGACGAGAACCATGTGGCACTATAGATGCTACGACACTAAGGAAGGAAGAGAGACGAGAACCATGTGGCACTATAGATGCTACGACACTAAGGAAGGAAGAGAGACGAGAACCATGTGGCACTATAGATGCCACCACACTAAGGAAGGAAGGGAGACGAGAACCATGTGGCACTATACAGTGCCTTGCGAAAGTATTCGGCCCCCTTGAACCTTTCAACATTTCGCCACATTTCAGGCTTCAAACATAAAGATATAAAATTTTATTTTTTTGTCATGAATCAACAACAAGTGGGACACAATCATGAAGTGGAACGAAAGTTATTGGATAATTTAAACTTTTTTAACAAATAACAAACTGAAAAGTGGGGCGTGCAATATTATTCGGCCCCTTTACTTTCAGTGCAGCAAACTCAGTCCAGAAGTTCAGTGAGGATCTTTGAATGATCCAATGTTGTCCTAAATGACTGATGATGATAAATAGAATGCACCTGTGTGTAATCAAGTCTCCGTATAAATGCACCTGCTCTTTGATAGTCTCAGGGTTCTGTTTAAAGCGCAGAGAGAACCATGAAGACAAAGGAACACACCAGGCAGGTCCGAGATACTGTTGTGGAGAAGTTTAAAGCCGGATTTGGATACAAAAACATTTCCCAAGCTTTAAACATCTCAAGGAGCACTGTGCAAGCAATTATATTGAAATGGAAGGAGTATCAGACCACTGCAAATCTACCAAGACCCGGCCGTCCCTCCAAACTTTCATCTCAAACAAGGAGAAGACTGATCAGAGATGCAGCCAAGAGGCCCATGATCTCTCTGGATGAACTGCAGATAACTACAGCTGAGGTGGGGATGGTGTGTTCAGGGTGATGAGCTGTGTTGCTTTTACGCCAAACATATCGTTTTGAATTGTGGCCAAAAAGTTTGATTTTGGTTTCATCTGACCAGATCACCTTCTTCCACATGTTTGGTGTGTCTCCCAGGTGGCTTGTGGCGAACTTTAAGAGACTTTTTATGGATATCTTTGAGAAATGGCTTTCTTCTTGCCACTCTTCCATAAAGGCCAGATTTGTGCAGTGCACGACTGATTGTTGTCCTATGGACAGACTCTCCCACCTCAGCTGTAGTTATCTGCAGTTCATCCAGAGTGATCATGGGCCTCTTGACTGCATCTCTGATCAGTCTTCTCCTTGTTTGAGATGATAGTTTGGAGGGACGGCCGGGTCTTGGTAGATTTGCAGTGGTCTGATACTCCTTCCATTTCAATATAATTGCTTGCACAGTGCTCCTTGAGATGTTTAAAACTTGGGAAATCTTTTTGTATCCAAATCCGGCTTTAAACAGTGAGTGAGATGGAAGGCCTCACCTATAGACTCGCCCCGGGACAGGTGAGCGATGGGGGAGGCACAGGGGTGGTAGCGCCCTCCACTGGCCTGGGGGTGGTACAGGTATGTGCGCGTGGGCGAGGCCAGGCTGTGGTAGTGCTGAGGCTGGAGCGAGTCTAGGGAGTGGATGGGGTGAGCTGAGATGACCCATGAAGCAATGACACACAATGACACACACAATGACACACAATGAGACACAATGACACGCAATGAGAGAGAGAGGAGAGAGAGGAGAGAGAGAGAGGAGAGGGAGGAGAGAGAGAAGAGAGAGGGGAGAGAGAGAGAGAGAGGAGAGAGAGAGGAGAGAGGGGAGAGAGAGAGGAGAGAGAGGAGAGAGAGAGAGAGAGAGAGAGAGAGAGAGGAGAGAGAGAGAGGGTAGATAGGGGAGAGAGAGAGGAGAGAGAGGAGAGAGAGAGGAGAGGGAGAGAGGAAGAGAGGAGATGCACAAGCATGGGATGTCCACAGATGACACTTTCCTCTCGTATAAGACCCTCGTCCCACTCCTCACCCTCTGCACAGGAGCTGCCCTGGTCTCCCCCTCCCTCCCCCTCCCTCCCCCTCCCTCCCCCTCCCTCCCACACTTACGCTGAGGCGGCTGGGCATCAAACGGCATCATCATTTTAGGCCTCATCCCGCGGCGGCCTCCCAGAGTCGACATGCCGTCCTCAGACTCGAGCCCTAAAACGCAGGCTCAGCTTTAATTCAAATTCAGCCGATTTTAAATGTTTTGGAAAAGGACTTTTTATTCAATAGTTTAAGGAGAGTGAGTGAAGCAGACGATGAGAGGCATGAAGAAGCAACACTCAAACAAACGACGTTTGGACGTTCATTTAAGACACACATTAGCCTCCTGCAGCTCGGGAGACACCAGTAGCATTAGCTCTCCCTGTAGCTCCCAAAGGATTTAGAATTGACATTATACAGCTAGCAATGCCCTGTTTTGTGTGTGTGTGTGTGAGTGCGTGTGTGTGCATGTGTGTATGTGTGTGCGTGTGTGCGTGCGTGTGTGTGTGTGTGTGCATGTGTGTGTGTGTGCATGTGTGTGTGTGTGTTGTGAGGAGAGACTGCAGAAAAAACCCGCACATTGAAATCAGACATGGCTCAAATCTGAATTAAGACACATGTGGAAGAAGGAGCAGGGCCCTTACCCCACCGCTGTCAGACTGTACAATGAGTCACTAATGCACTAGGACTGAAAGAAAATAAAACCTGCACTGCTATTGCCACTCTACTTTTATTGCCACATTTTTATCGTACATATTTATATCCTGCACAGACTATATTTCTAACCTTAAACACGTTTCACACTTCTGCCTGATTCTGTCTGTGCCAAATGTGACCTGTACATTTCTCAATCAGAGATCAATAATCTCGATCTTATCTTATGGAAGTAATGGAATACAGACTAAAACTGTTTGTCCAATATCAAACATTTAGTTTTAAGGCCTGTGTGTGGATTTCTCTCTCATTCATCATTTTGTTCTGATACAGCAGTTCTCTGGAGGAGGAGGTTGGAGACCCCTGATGCAGACTGTAAACAGCAGACACACGGACACAGTGTTATGCCGCCCTCTCCTGGCTGCAGAGGGAATTACCACCACAATAACAAACTAAAGCAGCTTGTGCAAAGACTGAGATTAGATTTAATTCATTCCCAGTGTTTTGTAACTGATGATGCAACACTGACATTTCCTCACAGTGGGACGCACAAAGGATCTCTTCATCTTCATGTAAATTTGACTCCAAAAACATGAAAGTGTATTTTCTCAGCAACATTTTGGACATTTCCCGAGTCTCTGGAGCTGCAATGGTTTCTGTCCTCTCTACTCTCGCATCGGGGGCAGTCTGAGTCTGAGCCTGAGCCTGATCCTGAGCCTGAGCCTGAGTCTAAATCAGAGTCTGAGTCTAAATCAGAGTCTGAGTCTGAGCCTGAGTCTGAGTCTGAGTCTGAGTCTGAGTCTGAGCCTGAGCCTGAGCCTGAGCCTGAGCCTGAGCCTGAGCCTGAGCCTGAGCCTGAGTCTAAATCAGAGTCTGAGTCTAAATCAGAGTCTGAGTCTAAATCAGAGTCTGTGTCTGAGCCTGAGTCTGAGTCTGAGTCTGAGTCTGAGTCTGAGCCTGAGCCTGAGCCTGAGCCTGAGTCTGAGTCTGAGTCTGAGCCTGAGCCTGAGAGCCTGAGCCTGAGCCTGAGCCTGAGCCTGAGCCTGAGTCTGAGTCTGAGTCTGAGTCTGAGTCTGAGTCTGAGTCTGAGTGTGGAGCAGGTGAGAGAGCGGGTCTTTGAAGCTGCTCAGAGGTTCTCCACAGGGGGGCGCTCTCTGCAGGAGGCAGACTTTGCTCTGAACTCTCTCTGTAGCTATTTGGAGGAAACGTGTTTGTAATAAAGTGTCTCCAGTGTTTTGATTATTGATTCAAAGACTGTAGATGTGTTTGAAGTTACCACGGCAACGATAGAGGAAGTAGAGTGTGTGAAGTTACCAAGGCAACGATAGAGGAAAACGGGCTCTGATAAGTTTGTTGAAGTCTTTGGTACAAGTTTCTCTCATCGTCAGAAACAGACCTGAGGTTGTTTTTAGCTCCATCCTCTGTGAAGTCTGTGATGTTATGGAAAGAATTCTGTCTTTTAAAATAAAAGTATTGCATCTAATTTACTTCAGGAAGTTTGCCTTTGCCCAGTAAGTGTGTGTGTGTGTGTGTGTCTCTATGTCTGTGTGTCTCTGTGTGTGTGTGTGTGTGTGTGTGTGTGTGTGTGTGTGTGTGTGTGTGTGTGTGTGTGTGTGTGTGTGTGTGTGTGTGTGTGTGTGTGTGTGTGTGTGTGTGTGTGTGTGTGTGTGCGCGGAGAGAGCGCCTCGCAGGTAGAGGGGACAGAGCAAGCCCCGGCGATCCAAGATGGCGCCCTATTCAAATGAATGGTTGTGCTCAGTGGCGCTTTGTGACGGCATGGGGGCTGAAAGATTAGCGGAAGTCGCCTGGAACTCGCAAAGATCTATGGGAAAGTCGCCTGTATTTGGGCATCGTCTGGTCCTCCCGGTTCTGCGCAGTGTATTATCTCCCATAATGCGTTGCGCTAAACACGCGTGTGTGGGTCTCACACCGGGTCTCACGCACGTGCACAGAGGGGCTCGGCCGCGCTCTGACCAATCAGAGCAGTTCATCAGAGCGGGAGTTAGAGCGAGAGCCAGACGAGCAGAGTTTGTGGCACTAAAGTGTGGATTTAAACAAAACCGAAGGATTTAAGAAGAAAAAAAGTTCAGGATGACAAGGGACACTAAAATCCCCACAAAATCCGACCTTTATGAAAGCTGTAGGTTCTCTTTCAGCTGAGGTTGAGCTGTTTTAATATGCATTGAGTTCTATGGGGAAAATTTCTGGGTAGCCCACATGAATTTAGTCTGGTTTAGTCTGCAGTACCGCGAGAATCCCCCGAGCACATGAGTTATTCAGCTACAAGCTGTAATACCCTATCCAGTTATTATAATAGATCCATGGGACAGAGCGAGATGTATGTAAAGATTAACGTATTAACATTATGCGACAAATAAATGGTAGATGTACGATCAGGAAACAATTATTTAAATTAATACATGAAAAAAATTACACACGTTTGTTAATAATCATTGTCATTAACAAATACTTATAACCAAGGACTACAGCATATATCAATATATTATTCCATTGTATTTTCAATGGAAAACGGACCCGACACTCGTCGACGGAACAAATAGGATTGTTTCTATTTCGTCCGTCCGCGTCCGTTGCACCCTCCGTTGACGGAATACGTCCGACGTGCGTTGGACGGACGCATGCGGAGGCAGTGGAGCCACTTCCATTCACCCTCATGGAGATACGGACGACGGATCCGTCCAAACATGTCCGTTTCATCTCCGTCTCCGTTATTTCCATGAGGGTGAATGGAAGTGGCTCCACTGCCTCCAACATCCGGATTCCATCAACGGAGGGTGCAACGGACGCGGACGGACGAAATAGAAACAATCCTATTTGTTCCGTCGACGCGTGTTGGGTCCGTTTTCCATTGGAAATACAATGAATAATATATATATTAATATATTTACAACATTATTAAACATGTATTGATATATGCTGTAGTCCTGGTTATAAGTGTTTGTTAATGACAATGATTATTAACAAACATGTGTAATTTTTTTCATGTATTAATTTAAATAATTGTTTCCTGATCGTACATCTACCATTTATCTTTCGCGTAATGTTAATCTTTACATACACCTCGCTCTTTTTTCTCTTGCTGTGTCCCCTTGGACACTTGCTCTGTCCCCTTGGACACTTGCTCTGTCCCCTTGGACACTTGCTCTGTCCCCTTGGACACTTGCTCTGTCCCTTGGACACTTGCTGTGTCCCCTTGGACACTTGCTCTGTCCCCTTGGACACTTGCTCTGTCCCTTGGACACTTGCTGTGTCCCCTTGGACACTTGCTGTGTCCCCTTGCTCTCTCCTCACCGCCGTGCGCTCCCATCCACACACACACACACACATTACCCACAGAGCTACTGCACTTATGAGAGACAGATCTCACAACACTGGATATGTTGGAGTTCTTTTCTCTCTCCCATTTTTCCAATTGCTTTCAATAAGTTTAGACCACTAGTCCGTTTTATGGACGTCCGACGGACAGCAGCCAACGCGCGTCAACGGAGACGCGCCCGGTGGAGTCCAGACCTCACCGTGGCCATACCTCCAAAAGCACGTCACTTTAGTGGAGACGAGCGAACAGAAATGTTTTCAGATCCTACTCTGTAATCCCAGAGAAAGCTCCTCTGACTGATAATAAGGCTGTAGGATGTTACCATTGTTTTCATAAACTGGTCAGACATAGTTCTAACACAGTTCATTTGTAAACTTATGTGTTTTCTTTTCAGTTTCAGAGGGTATTCTTGCTTAAATAGAGCCATTAATTGGCTCGGATTCACATTTGTTTCGTGTTTATTGGGCTATTGTTATAAACAACAGTTAAAAAACATTTCTAATGAAGTACATGTTAATTTGTAATGGCTTATTGCTATAATTTCTCAATTTATTTTATTTACAATTGCAAAGGGCCTTCTTGTCTTTTGTTGTTGGTGTTTTGGGCTATTCTATAAATATCTAAATTTTAACCTTTTTCTGACTGACAGTTTAGTATTTATCACTAAAATTGCATAGACTGCAGTTTGTTTACTTGAAAGTAGCTTCTATATAGCAAACTACTTTTGACAGAATTTTGTAACTTAGCTTGCTGCATTTTTATGGGTGGTAGCTTCTGTAAAGTGAAGCTGAATTTATTGTAGAGTAGCTTAGCTAACTGCATAAATCAAGTAGCTTGCCCATCACTGGTAGTTTATGTAGTCACATGTGAGAGCTAGCTGCTAACAGGGGACTGCGAGCGTGTGATATGGAGAGACCATGAGGATTTGTGTTTTTTTTTTTTTATATACAGAACTGCAGATAAAGTCAACCAGTGATCCTACATGTGTCGTCGTGGTCCTTAATCAGCCAGCACACCCCTATGTCAGACTGTACATTTCCCTATTTCTGTTTCTAAAGTTCATTGTATGACGTCATAGTTTATATCTGTTCATAGCCACACGGACAGACCCAGGACTGAGGCTGTAGACCCAGGACTGAGGCTGCAGACCCAGGACTGAGGCT